TTAAGAATTGCTTCGTTCTAACTTTGGCGAGAATCGTGTAATATCCAGAGTTTTTCCAGGTGCTTGGCCTCCTTAAAGCGAGGCTACTTAAATTCCTTCCTACTTAAATCCCTGTGATTTTTGGTTGTGGGTACTCCTAAAAGACCGTTTTTATATGAAGGAGGAATTATGACTTTACCTGAGTTGAAAGCCAGCATTACACGCCATCTTGCTGAAATCCCTCGAGAGTTACTTCGCGCTGCCACTGAACACGCTATAATGCACTTTCAACACGTAATTGATGTCACTGAAACACACATTGAACACATTCTGTAAATGAATAAATTTTAATGATTCTGACAGATTTTTTTGGTTCTTCTTTAGGCGCCGCAATCTCCACTGGTGACAAAATTTGAACTATTTTTATTGCAGAAACCGTTTTTCTATGATCCATATAACATATATACGAAATTTAATCAAAATTCAATAAATAGAACGGGTTCTAGAGTGGTCTAAATAGGGTCACTTTAATTATAACCACCTTGTATGTAAGACGTTAAACGAACTGTTAGAAAAAGCTCAGGAGCTGGTTGATTTTTTCATGGAGATTGATCCAAATGAAGAAAGAAGAGGGCACCTAATGACAGGTAATGAAACACTTTGCATTCCTTACAGCGTTTCATCAGTTGCGTCAAACTTTGTTCCAAGCAAAAATCAACAGCTGTTTAAAAACTATAATTGTATCATCTACCTACTTTTTAAGCAGTAATAGAGAGCTTTTCATTTAACATTTTTTACCCTTTTAAATACAATAATATTTTGGGCTGTATAAATCATATATATTTTCGTAATTTGAAGTATACCTAACCCGTCTTTTCCACAGAAAGCTAATTTTGCGGAAAGAAGATTTTGTCGTACGAGCAATGTGTTAATGATGTAATCCCCGCATCCGGTAAGGGTTTGTTGTATTATTTGCGTTAATTAAAATTGAAAAATATTTGTACTTTATGACCTGTTTTTACGATTAACAGATTATGATTCTAAAGTAATAAAACTTAATGAGAACGTTAATAACGTGTTTTAAGTATTGAAAGCTTATAAATTACTTGTGTGAAAATTCCTTCAGTATATGAAATGTAAAAAATTATAGATAAAGATACAACCAATTGACGTACACAAGATTAATCACAAAAGAATACCACTGAATCACATTAAAGAGGAAAATAATCAACCTGGAATTATTCTACTTCATTTATTAATGGGCTTCTCAAGCCAACAATTGCAGGGAAGGAGAAAAAGAAGGGGGAATGGACTCATAATGAACTTTTGTGAACACTATGTACATACCATGCCAAAAAGTTTGTGAATTCAACAGGAATTTCTAACATTTAATAGAAAATTGCTGAAACTATTAAGCTTTTACAACTTCTTATCTGCGGGAGGTTCAGTTTTTAAGCAAAGCTACCTTAAAACTTGATGCTGGAAAAAAAAATCGAAACAGCTGTTTGTCAGTTTAAAGCAGGATTTGGCAAGCTAAGTATCAAAGAGCAACCTCAGTCGCCATATGAAAGAACAGTTAAGAGAGTGACACTTCATTCACTTTTGTTTTTACGGAATTTTTTTTATGAAGACAGTAACATATTAGTGACAATTTCCGGATAAAAGACAAATTTTAATTGTTTCACAAAACCAAAATTCAAATAATAAAAATTGAATGAAATTATACCTATTTTAAGATCTGTTATGAAAAAGCAAATCATACATTTGAGGTTGATGGTTTTATTTAACAAGTAAATGAAATTTTAAAGTCTTCTGGAAATTTTATGCCAGGCTACATGTTTATTTGTATTATTTTGGTTCACGAATTTTGACAGTCAATCTGTTCAACATTATAACGGCACACGATACATAACGCCTATTCGGTGTATAACGACATAAAAATTTCAATGTTATATAAGTAATATTAACATAGTCCTGCGCCAAGATTGTCAATTAAATAAGAAATCAATTTTTATGGTCAATTTTTAGGTAAATCAGATTTATCTGAGGGCTTTTTAAAAATACAAAAAATTAATATTATTTAATAAATATTTAATCTTTCTTATAATACAAATGGAATTAATAACACAAATATACATTATTTAATAAAATGATATTTAGCCTTTCTTAAATAATGAGAATATTTGGCCATTGAGAAGAGGAAGGAAAGAAAGATAAAATATAACTTAAGCTTTTTTCATTTCCTCTGCCACAACGTCTGGCGTCTTACCAACAAGGTAGAAGTTCAAGTCACTTTAAATTCTAATTGATATTTCAATAATAAAATTTGATGAATATGGTGATGATTAAAATGGCACGTAATTTTTGTATAAAATAGTTTGACTTATTTCTTTCCTCTCAGTATCTAGAAAATTTGAGAAAGTTGCATTTCTATTTCCAAACACATGGAATTTTAACGAAAAAGGACTCAAGTAAACGTAAGTGCGTAAATATATTTATTTCCAGTTATTATTTGTTTCAAAATACTGTGCTATACTACATTTTTTTTAAAGTAAAATACCTAGAAAGATAATATAACTTACAGCTTTTATTTTTGCAAGATATGTGAAGTAGGTATTATAAAAAGGCTAGTATTTGAAAACAAACGCATTGCACACGGCGATGCAGTTAGTATTTTATATGTCTATGTTCCACATGTATTGTTTGCGCGGCACACGCGACCACTTGAAATTAACATAGTGACACTCAGTTAAACATAGTTTTAACCACGACTTTTGGATTAGACTTCCAAGTTACCTACTCAAATGTTCAAGATTTTATAGAGAACTATAATAAGGCGTCACTTTTCGTATCACAATTAACGAAATCAACTCATTTTTAATGAGGGATAAATCAGGTAAATCTAAACTACGAAGAAAGAAATGAGACATTGTTAATTCTGTATAAAGTGAGGGTATTTGTTGCTGAAAAAGCGTGCGGCAAATTATCTGGAATTGAAGCAAATGTGTAGAGGAAAAGCTGCTGGCAAATTATCCCTGTGGAGTTATTGAAAGTACGAAATGTTGCTGAATGAGGAAAAGCCGTGTATGTGGCAAATTATCCTGTGGAGTTATTGAAAGTACGAAAATGTTGCTGAATGAGGAAAAGCAGTGTACTGCTGGCAAATTATCCTGTGGAGTTATTGAAAGTACGAAAATGTTGCTGAATGAGGAAAAGCAGTGTACTGCTGGCAAATTATCCTGTGGAGTTATTGAAAGTACGAAAATGTTGCTGAATGAGGAAAAGCAGTGTACTGCTGGCAAATTATCCTGTGGAGTTATTGAAAGTACGAAAATGTTGCTGAATGAGGAAAAGCAGTGTACTGCTGGCAAATTATCCTGTGGAGTTATTGAAACGAAAAATGTTGCTGATGAGGAAAAGCATGTACTGCTGGCAAATTATCCTGTGGAGTTATTGAAAGTACGAAAATGTTGCTGAATGAGGAAAAGCAGTGTACTGCTGGCAAATTATCCTGTGGAGTTATTGAAAGTACGAAAATGTTGATGAGCCGTGGAATCTAATGAAGATATGTGGCATTCATTTCGGTGGCTCTGTATTATATGCGGCAGTGGACATATTATTCTCTGAAATCGAAGTTTGGTATTTTTAAATTTATGAAAAAAAAAAAAAATGTTCCGAGAGAGACATACAAGTTCCGTAAGGAAATGGTAGCTTCTGTTTGATTTTGTTAAATTACGATCATAAAATTTTTCTGAAAGTTTCAAGTTTCCTGGGACCTTTTTTTTGAGGACCCAGGAAAGGGGGGCTAAAATTCATTCACTACCTAGACCGTTGTTAACATAAGTAATAAAATGTGCGTTAGTATTCGTGCGATTCGGCGAAATGAACGTTTAATGTCATAAGGTATTTCTCCCGCCTTCTTACCATGCCTACGTAGTGTAGTGGTCTGCACGCTGGACGCGTATTCCAGGGTTCCGTGGTTCGATTCCCGGCAAGTGCATTGCTCATTTTTCATCACTCTTGCTTTAAAAATAACCTAATGTCTCTACAGTGGCGCCCGAACTAAAAGGGTGGTGGATGAAGATTCTCCACACCCAGGATTTGGCGAGTGGGTCCCCTAAAAAAAAAACCCCAATCGCCCTTTAAAAGGGGAAGTATATAAGGTATTTCTCCCGTCTTCTTAGCATGTCTTTGTAGTGTAGTGATCTGCATGCTGGGTTATGAATCGCATTAGTGAACAGCAGTATTATCTTAATAGCCGAAATATTAGAGCTGACTGATAGACGAAAATTAGGGAAAGAAATTGTATAGTCGAACAATTTTGTTTATGGAATTTTGGATGTAAATGTATGTTTCAAGTTTAGACAATACATTTTTACATTAGAAAAGGCTCCTATTTATTTTTATTTTTTGAAAAATTTTGAATAATTCAAATTTTGTAAGCTAACTAAATTACGGTGTAAATTAACAGGATTTCTTTCTGTATGTTTACCTCTTATGCTGACTGTTTGCTAGTTTGTGTATTAACTAGTCGTTTATTCATATCTTAAAAATAGTAAATACTACTATTAATAATAATACTTAAAAAAAACTTAAATTGGTGCAAATTCCGTTTAAAATTCAAAATAAAATTTTATATAAAATCTGCTGATCTAGAGTTTATCTCCTTAACTCTATATTTTACATATTTCCTTTTAACTCTGTATTTTAGATAGCATTCTTCATTTATCTATAGACTTATTTATGTATTCCTGATGCATACCCCGATGAAAAGAAAATATTGCTTAACAATTAATCCAGCCCCGACCAGAGTGATCATCAGCGAAAAACAATTTTTTCCCACCTTTATTTTTTTGGAACAGTATAAACTAGGGAGAGGGGCGCCCCAGATTTTTTTCCATAGGGGTCAACGAGCTATACTTACGCTACTAGCAATGTACATCTTAACTGCCTTCATATACACAGGAGTTGCATAGCACTGATATAAAGAAAAAACAAAAGGCAAAACTGATTTTACTTACCAAGCTTCTTACTGGTAAAGATGAATTAATCTCATTACTATTCTGCAATCGATTTCCTATCTGGTTGATTGGTAATAAGGGTTTTGGTCCATAAGGAGTCTTTTTTCCAACTGAAAACTTAATTCTGTCCATTTCTGGTTGTCTGTAAATTTCTTTAAGTGTTCGATCGACTAGAAAATCGGGACGTAGGTGGGTGACAGAATTAGTTCTTTGTGCTCTAGAGGTGAAGTCATTGAATTGTCCTTCGAGTGAGGCACATATAACACAGCACTTAAAGTACGCGTTGTGATTTACATAAGATGCGTGGTCGCACATTTGCCCGCAATAGTAACATTTAAAAGATTTTGGTGGATATTCTACTTGTGTGTCCCTTTCATAAAAGGCTGGTCTCCATAAACTGAACTTCGATCTTCCTGATCTCTCAAAAGTATCAGTATCTGTTTGAAAAGTATCTTCGACTTGTTTGAAAGGATGCATTAACGGATGGTGCAAGCTTCCGAAAAGTAATGATTCTTTCACAGCGCCTTTTTGTAGCACTGGAACGAAACTGCAAGAAAGTCGAAGGAAATTTTGCAAATTCTGTTCTGAAAGCAACCCATCTTGTTTTGAGTTCAGACTAGTCATCATGGCCATTGTGTTTTCACCAGTTTTGTTGTTTACTTCATTTGGACTCGAAATTCTTGCTAGAGCAGCTAGAACAAATGAAATTGCAAATTTAAATATTTCTGAAATTATCAATTAAGTAAGATAAATGAAAAGAAACGAACTTCTAATACTTTTCTGTCAAATTATGTATGAAGTTAGAAACACAATCACAGTGTTTTTTGGAACATTCTCTGAGAATATGAAGATGAAAATCCTCAAGAATGCTTTCACAAACATAACAAAGACAAGAGTTTTGATTTCTAGTATTGAAAACAGGTGCATTTCAATGTAATGTCAAGCTTTAGAATAATCCGGAAAATGTGCAGTATGCTATAAATATTACTAAAGCTTATCAATATAGTTGACATGAATTTTGTTAATGAAGCTCTATAAAGTTATGAAGAGTATGATTTTTTGAGGGGGGCGGGGATTAGAAATGTATTCAGTAATCAAACAATTGTGCTTTCTAGATACATGTTCTGGGGAATTCGCAAAGTCTACTCAGAGAACATGAATACGAGGAGAAAAATTTAACTTACGAAAGAAAAATTTCTCGACAAAGGTTAATAACAAATTTTTCAATGAAATATTCGGTACTTGCTGATTACCTCTCGCCCTCAAAAAGTTGCCAAAACATTGGCGATTTTGAATTGACTAGAAACACTTGTTTAGCTATCTCTACAGCTTTGGGTGATAATTCGAACTCTTCTTTACATTATTTCCTGATATATGTTTGTTTATTTAATGATATATAAACGAACGACTGCTATGAAGGAAATGTGATTGTTCTTCAACTAGTTTTGACAGGCATTTTAATGTTTTGCCTCCAGTTTTTGATATTGCATTTCCACCAAATTCAGTCGTTTAGGAAATGTTCATAGAATGCGAATTTTGCTATTCTTTTCTGTTGGGTAAACATCATATTTCTGAAGAAATCCAACGCTTTTTTTGTCATTAGTTGGTAAATTCCAGAGTTCTGTTACGATTCATTAAGATTCAAAAATTAAACGGGAGGGTTGCTCGAGGAATTCTGATCAGCGAAGTAACAGTTAAATATAAAATCCATAAATTCATGTATGTGGTGTGTGCATGCGTGGGTCAGCTGTTATTGCGAGTATGCTCGAATTGCCACGTTTTTTGCGTTTTTACAATTCTATCGAATGTTGAAATGCGGGTTGCCTATAATTAGAAAGTACCAAATTTTGTATTTAGAAAGATATGAAATACTCAAAAAGCTGAACAATCGTCCCAGAATGAAACTGAAATTGGGCGAAACGCAGCAAATTTTTTTACATGGTCAGAACAATTACGTTTCTTTCAAACATGTAGCATTAATAATTGAACTCCACTGACAGAGAACACTTTCATTGCAACAACACAGTGCATATTTTGATAACAATAAATACAGTGAAAACTTTCCTGGTGACTGCGTGTAAAAGTAGATATTATATCCGAGATTATAAATAAACAATAGTGTTATACATACTAGGGATACATTATTTTCGAACTAAAGAAATGGAAATGGCAAAAGTAAAAATTTTGTATTTATTCGGGGGGGGAGAGGATAAAAATAAATAAAAAGTAAGAAGTACAAATCAATGTTTCTGTAACAAATTATCTACTGCATACGAAAAAAAAAAAAAAAAAGAATCAAATACTTTGTGAGGTTTATCTATTTATTTTTAGCTAATAGTTTATGTTTGACTACTTTCCTATTACTCTCTTTTTCACCCACGTTTTTTATGGCAGAATGCAAATGATATAGCGAACTTTTATTCCGATTAAAGTAGAAAGAAGTGCTAGTTCAGCCAGAGTTTCGGAAGTTAGTTTTAGAGCGTGTTTGCCTATTCCAGGCCACATTGTGTTGTGATTACTAGTGATTTGAATTAGCTGCGTTGAGTGTATCTAACCATTTATATTGGCTTCGTCTCGCCGGTTTACTACAAACCAGAGACTTTCCTGCGCGTTAAAGTCATGGACCTTATAAGAGATAGACTAATCCAGTGGGCGGGGCGCGCGTCACCTACATGTCGGCAAGAAAGAGTAGGGACGATCTGGTTTACTTTAACACTGAAACCTATGACGTTTGTATCACATAACTCTTTTTAATTATTAAATGTGATACGTTGTATAGTGATGAGATTATGAAAGCCACCAGTTTTTTCCAAATAGGATTAAATATCTCATTAAAGCACTTTTTACTGCATTTCGAACATTTTTTCACACGTAATTCTTGGTACAAACATCTTACTTTGGTTTGGTAAATAAAACGGTAAAAACTCTAAGCACAAAATTTATGAACTTAATTTTGAGTAAAAATAAAGTAAAATTAAGTAAGATTGATAGTGCGTGATGCTTTGAAATAAATAAGGTAAAATTAAACAAGATCTGATAATTTTTTTTTAAAATTTAATAAACATTTTCAGGCAGTGATTTTACCAACTGTAATAACATTACAAAACGATCATATTTATTTGATTATATGGTCATTAAATTATTAACATTAAAGTGGATTAGTTATTTTAATAATTAATAAAATTTGGGCATAAAATTTTCTGAGTGTAATGAAGAGGGGGGAAGATAAAATAAAATCTAGAAGCACTCAGATTTTATATTACGCCCAAACGGAACCTTTTTTTAGTTTTGTGTATTACCTATATTTATTGAATATCATGTTCTTCGGCCGTAAACCACATACATTTGAAAACAGCATATGTTTAGAATTTCCGCACTGGAGATAAAACTGTTATTTCTAGTGCTCGCTCTGAACGCGTTTGTTAATCAAAAATTCGTTAAAGTTTTACAAAATATAAAATAGATTAAAACAAATTCGAAATTTGGCCGTCCAGATGCCCATGTTCGGGTGGAGGATTACATTATTCAAAATTTGATGGCTCTAGATACTGTCGTTTTTGTCACAGTGCGAGAGACATACATATATTCATACAGATTCTTCATTATTAAATTTCTTTAAATATAATACAGGGCGATAATATTTAGTAACAACAATTTGCAAAGAGACACGGACATTTATAGTAAAACAGCGCAAAATGCCGCTTCGAAACTAACAGCTTTTCTAGGCTACCGCCCCTTTGGGCTAATAAATTAAGTTAACAGTAAATAAAAAAAAATCTTATGCAGAACTAAAAATAAATTTAAAAAATAATCACTATAAAATACAAGCAAAATTAATTATTACGGTTAAATACAATTTTAATATTAGAATTAAATGTATAAAAATGTTTAAGGAGTCAAAAGTGTTTATCATTATGATGTATTATGAAATATAATTGAAATAAAATTCCTTTACAAAAATTGTGCTATAATACTCATCGATAATTTTAAAAAGCAGCACAATTTAGAATTTTAAACAAAACTTTCAAAAATTTCGTTTTTTTTAAATATTTTAGTATTTTTTACTTATTTATACCAATAAAAAGCATAAAATTGCAGAGAAAATTGCTTGTTTGAAATTTTCTATTAGTTCAGATTTAAAATATTATTTCCTCCTAAAAGAAGTAGTTACACATTTCCTTACAGCATAGGAAAAGCTAAAAAAATATCCAGCCCTGAAAGCATGCAATAGCTTTTTAATTATTTGGAACGTTAATTATGCTTGATAAATATGCTAAATTTTTAAAAATCAATCTCAATTTCAAAAATAAAAATATGTAGAAATTCTAATTTGTGAAATGAGGCGCTACAACCAGCTTTTTCTTGACAATTATATACGCTGCAATAGGCAACCAATGTTAAATTTCTGCAAGTCGTCCCTATTCCTCCGGATGTGATCAAAGTGACAGCCGGCAACGCATCAGACGAGGGAGAAAACCCGTTTGGGTTAGTCTATTTCTTATAAGGTCCATGGTTAGAGCGTTCTGTGAGCCGTTAGGTTAATCTACCACACTTTGAAATTGTTATTTGTTACGTCTTTCTGTTAAGCCAAAAGTACTTGGGCTTATACAAACCCAAGTTGGGTTATTTGTTAAGTGGTGTTTGAATAAAAACTTCTTATACACCCTTCTTCTTATTTTTGTTTTGTTTCACAAGGCTAGAAGATAATTTTTGAAAAGTCCTTTTTTAAAGTCTATAGTTTATGTTCCCAAAGAGGCATAGACTTTACAGTTCCATTTGTTCATTTGAGCTACCGAAATAGAGGAAGAGCCAAAGTCCATCAATCAAAACCTCCGATAGCCAGACCGTCCCTATATTTGCTTTGTGCTAAACCGAAGTTCCTATTAGTGGATAACATTACAAGTATCATTTTTTTTAAACTTTTATTTTACAATAAAAGGTTTGGGAGATAATTCGATTATGCGGAATGAAAACAAAAGTCCATTACTTGATCGAGACGTTCGTTTCTGTCCTAATGCGGTGTGTTGCGGTGGATTTTTCTAAGCTCAACCTACAGTCCTAGATGAGTTTATTGTTCTTTAAACGCGATTGTTGTCGAAAGGTTTATTTATGCTCGTTATGTTCTCAGAAATATTCTTCAATATTTTATATATACATCGCCGTTATTGCAGCCGCACAAAGCACTTGAAACAAGTCCATACTTTAAATAACTCTTAAATCTGCCATGTCCAGTCAAAAAATTGAGGTACTTTGAAATCTGATCAAATTTTATTCTGTGAAAAATTGTGAGGAAAAACCTTTTGGTTCATTGTGCTTTTGATGAGGCCAGATAGTCTTTGTTCCAAATACAGAAGTGCTGTAAAGTTTTATAGAAATATTGTTCAATATTTCTGAGAACCGATAAGAAAGTTTCTTTATTTTCTTACATCACTTTTAGAAATGGTCGTCGAAGTCAGATTAAGTTAATTAAGTGAATTAATCAGTCTGTTAATTCTTTGTGGATTATGACGTCGGCTACCTCCTCTTTAAGAAAATAATCTTTCTGAATAACATACTTTTTAACCAATATTGTCCTTGCTATGATAATGAAGGTTAATTTTCGCTGGTTTAGGAGTCTGAGTTACCCGGTACATGTCGTTATTCAGGAAGAGACGATGTTGTAAATTTTTGTAAATATTTCTTTTTTATTTGTTTACAACTTGATATAACTCTTTGTCACCCCTGGGGTCGTATATACTGGCTTAGTATTATACTTTGACTGTCTCAGTTCTAGGGCAATAAAATACATGGGTTCAATTTCTACTGTCCAAAAGGGCAGCCTATAGTGTCTCGGAGGGTAGTGGCTTCAGCCATCCGAGTGGGTAATGGGACGACCAGTCTATTCACCGGTTTCATGAACTCAGTGCCCTTCGTGGTGTATGTGAGGAGTGATTCTAGTTCTTGGGATTTAGCCGAGTCGGTGCTTGGGTATTTCATTCTGTATACCCAGTAATTGGAGCACGCAGGGTGCCGCAGTGTAAGAGATTTCGCTATTTGTTTTTTTTAGGATAGCTTGTGAGGCCGCTCTCCCGCCTAATATGGAGAGCAGGACTTCACGGGTAAGCGACAGTTGCAGCATTTTCTTCGCAGGAGTTGTCTATCTAAATTTGATTGATACCTTCTAAATAAAGCATTAGTTTTCTTCCATTTATTTTAAAATACTGAGATTTCTGCCTTGGATTCCAATTAAATCTTTATTTCTTTTCATTTTTCAGCCTACAGATTCGTAACAATAATTATCAACTACGTAAATTCAAGCAAACAAATACTTGATTTGAATTTTCTTTTTACGAACTTGCAATCTGAAAATTTCAGATTCAATTTAATGCCTTGAAGAAGAATTTACCATTAAAAGTTGAAAAATTAATATATTTATATATTATTAAAAATTAAATATATAAATTAAAAAAGTTACAAAAAGTCATCCAAATATTTTGCTCCTTTTCTTTCATAATAAGTGTTGCTAGCTCATGAAATCATATGTTGCTAGCTAAATCTTTACTATTGAATAAAACTATCACTGAACTGAAAAATAATTTTTCTTTTAAAAATTTTGACATCTGTTTTTACATTTCTTGAGCGCAAAAACAGAAAAATATCAAAATATTAAAATGGCCTACCAGCGGCAGAGTGTTAAAGGTCGCTGAACGCTACTAGTTCGTTCTGGGGTTCGAACCTCTGCGAACGGGCTGGTTGCATAGCCGTTTTCATGGTTTTCCTCTGTGTAACGTGTACACCAGCCAATTTCCTTCAGAAAGCCCTCCACGAGGGCATTCCTTCATTTAGGCAGATAGACCTCTAGTGCTTTGCCGTACTCAAATAAATCGAACCAATCAAAATATTAAAAAATTATTGCCGTCTTTACAAAACTAAAAAACAGACTTACATATGTTTTTGGAATTTATATGTTACTAAAAAATTCAATCATAACCATGAGATTTTATATACGGTGGAAACGACAGCGTACACAGAAAACAAAGTTTTGTAGATTAATTAGACTGCAGATAGGATTTGGAGATATATTTAATTTATGACACTCATGGCACAGAGTAACACTTGCAGAAAAATAATATTGAGAAATTCAGAAGATAAATGAAAGTTCTTATCAATCAGCCATTGGCAACAGCGACTATTTATCGAGCATATGATTTTTTCAGAAATAATAAACACCTTGAAGAGATTTTCGTTCTCTATGTATTAAAAATAAATTTTAAAAAGTTAGTGTAATTATTGCCTATAGTTATTACGAGCAGTTTAGATTCACTGGAAAAATTCAATACTAAAACTTTACAACACTCTTGTATTTGGAACAAAGACTATCTGGCCTCATCAAAAGCACAATGGACCATAAGGTTTTTCCTCACAGTTTTTGAGAGAATAAAATTTGATCAGTTTTCAATAGATTTCAAAATACCCCAATTTTTTGACTGGACATGGCAAATTTAAGAGTTATTTAAAGTATGGACTTGTTTCAAGTGCTTTGTGTGTCTGCAATAACGGCGATGAAGATGTAAAGCACATTCTTGAGAACGTTCATCGTGTCCAACAGAGGAAGATATTTCAGGCAACTTTGATGCACCTGTTTATATCTTGCTCAACAATTTTTTCTCTGAACTTTTTCGGACTAAGGAGACAAGTTCTACTTTTCGGAATTTCATTCTTAATTTGGATTATTGAGTTCTCTTTATTTTGTTATTTTTTATTTCATTTTATTTTTCTTTTACTTATTATTATTATTTCTTATAGTTTTCCCTCCTTTGCAGTGTTATTGTACATTTTCTTGTTTACATTTTTAGTGCTACAACTTACTTATGTAATGCGTGTGGGGTTGTTTATCAGCGGATTAATACTACTAGTTAAAATCAACAAATCTATATTAATAAAATTTATTTCGCTTTTATTCTTCAACTAAGTATACTTTTTGTGTATTGCCATAAAATTTAATGTTATTACCATATTACTTCGAATTTCAGCCTAACTTTTTCTTGAGATTTTTTAAATATCAAATTAGAGTGCGACATAAGTTCAAAATTTTTACAACTTATTTCAAAAGCTTACTTCAAAGCAAATGTTTTTACAACTTATTTCAGATGACCTCTTACTCCCCAAGTGTTTGAGTTTTAAATAACTGTGATCTTATAAATTAAAAATGATTTTATAATATATATTTCAAATATGTATTATTAAATCATTATTCAATTTTTTATAATTTTCTAATTTTAAAATTCTACTAGTTTTAAATTCAAAGATTGCTATCCACCCCTGTTTCAAAATACTGCTGCGGCTTAAATTTCAGTAATATAGTATTTTTTATTCAATTTTCATTTTCAAATAAATCAGTTATTACCTTTAGTAAATTTAAATGTATTCAATATTACTCATATCATGTAATTATTTCTTCAGTACAATTAGTGTTAATTATGCTACAATCAGTGTTTAAGTAAAATAGTGTTAGTTCAAGAGTCAATTAAAATATTACATTCAACTAAAGAAAAATGTTTTGTAAAGAAACTTACCGTTTGAATCTTGAATGTTATGATGTGATGAGTTTTTAATATTTTCTAATCCTTCGTGATTTGTTTCCATCTCGTCATCCCAACGCTCTTTCTTACCCAAAGCAATTTTTTTCTTGATTAGAAAAGAACGAGGCATTACGGAATATCGTCTGCTACTGAACCGGGAGCGATCAAGGATCGCGAACTTTGCAGCTGTTGATCCGCGTGTTGATTCTGCACTAGATCCTGCGATATAAACTTGCCGCCTCTCCTGTTGTATTAGAGAACACTTTCTGCTGCCACATGTAGATGGTGGCGACATCTGGTAAATGTAAAGTGATGTATTTCGTATGCTGCTCTTATGTCTGGTATTATGCAGTATATTGTTTAATATTCGTTTGCTAATGCAAACAGTTTGTCATATTTTTATTTTTTAAAGAGAATTACAGTAGCATTATCGCATGTGATTGAAGAATTCTTGTTGTCGATTATTCTTTTAATAATCAAGCAATTGTTTTCAACAGAAAAGTTAATAAAGTTGCCAAAAATGAATAAAAAATTACGTGTGAGTTAAGTATCGTAATTGCCTACTGGAGTGGTCTTGATCTTTGTTGCAGCCGAATGACTAATCTAAAAGCAGCTGACGGGCAGCAATTTTTTTAACAAAATAAATTTTTATTAACAAAATTAAAATGTTTAACCAAATTGAAAATTTTACTAACTAAATATTTATAAAAATATGCATAAACGACAATAATAATTGCAACAGAAAAAAGAGAAGAAAATGTAAAAAATTTCCGATTTTAGTGCCACATCAGAGGATTTGTTAAGATTTCTTCAGCTGTCGCTAATCGCAGTTGACCAATCTACTCTTGGGCTCACTCCTACTAACACAGCTCTTTTTTTTTTTTTTTTTTTTTTTTTTTAACATTATAATTAAACCTCGCTTTCTTCGCATTTACGCCACATAATATTCTACATTAAAATCACAAAATTTTTAAAAGCATTAAATATTGCCATATATTTTTCTATTTTTCTGAGTTTATCATATCAAAGTTCAATATTCTTAGAAAAATGACATGCACAAGTCTTTTTGTCTCTTTAACTTTATTAGTAAACATCACTATCTGCACACTTATGCTATAAAAAAATTCGACAGCAGAATTCTAAAGGCAGTATATGGTTAGATATCCCAGTACAGTATTAAGCCTTGTCATTGAGTTCTTTTGCGGTCCTTCTTCAGTTCATCATATCACTATTCAGTTTTCTTAATAAAGATGACTTCCATAACACTTTTTTTCGTCTTTTTATTGTCAACGTTTTGTCTTTTTAACTTTATGAAACGTCACTTTCTTCGCACGTGAGCCACGTAAAATTCAGCAGCAAAATACAAAATATTTTATGAGGTTGCAGTTGCTATGAAAACCAAATCTTTTTATTTAATCTGAACTTGTAATATAACGTAATGTAATAATCCAGGCACGACTTGAAGACAAGACAAGAACTGCTACTGGTAGCAATGTAAATTAAATAATAATGTTAAATAAATTTAAACATTGATAAAGTAGTCTACACAATAAAATAACTACATTATAAGCTGGCTGAAGTAATTTTACCGGTGTGTATCTTTAAAGTATCGGCTGCAAGATACTGCAAAACCGGAGTAATCGCTGTTAGACAGAGCTGGCGAAATTCTAACAGTGCAGTGTGCCAGGAAAATATTTCTCTATCTAAGATTCAAAATTCTCAGCTTATGTATTCTAAATGCTGATTCTAGTGAGATATTCTGGTAATATTAGATATTCTGGTTAGGAATACAAAAAGAAGAATTTATAGTTATGAACAAAATCATCATGACTGGCTATTTAACAGAACTTGATTATTTAAAAACAGCATATCTTAAGAATTTCCAATGAAGTGCTGTTTTCGCACGTCTTTTTATATTCGCTATATTATTTATTTGAAAATAATACATAGCGATAAAATTTGTTGGCAACTAACTTTTACTTTTGTTGCGATACTCTTTTTATATATTATCTGCATTATTTCCTTGAAAAAATACATGGCAATAACATTTGGTGGCAGCATCTTTTTATTCGAAAGATGCTACGAACAAAAATGTGGGGATGGAGACTCATAGCACCATTAAGGCTAATAATAAACCAATGGGGAAGAAAAAAACAAAATTTATATTCATTTTCTATCTGAAACCTGCTGGAAATTTCTGTGGAATACACTTTTTAGTTCAAGTATATCAGCAGCTAAATATTACATTTTCAGACTGATATTTATTTAAAAAATTCGAATATTTTGAATCAGCCATTAAATAACATAACAAATTATGAAATTTTTAGTTAAAATAACAAAATTATGAAATATTTCCAAGTTTTCAGAGAAAATTTTTAAGTGGACCAAACCTAGAGAATATAATTACAATTATTTATTCTCTAGCTTTGTCCCACTTGGAATTTGAATGATAAATATTATTTTTTAATTGTTAATTTTTTTATATATACTACACTTATGTCCATAAATTAAGGATAATTTGGAGTCACGCAAAACTCGAACTCTAAAATAAATATATCACCCGTAAAATCACTACATACATCTTCAAGAATCATATACAAATTTCAGGAAGTAACCAGATGACACCGATGGTACGTCACAATGACGAGAGTGTAAGAGAGTGATATATAAGGAATACAGGCAAAGAAGTAAAATTGTTCGCAGGCGCTTTATAAGCATTTCAGTGCAATAACCGAATAGTTATGACCAAAGGACGCATTTGGATGATTTTTTACGTGGTAGAATTATCGGCCGTCTGGAATGTGGGCGTACCCAACTGGAAGTATCAGACGAACTTGGAATTGCCCAGAGTGTCATCTCCAGGCTTTGGCAACGATTCCAAGATGATGGTAATGTGAGTAGACGTTACAGCACAGGTCGCCCCAGAGTTACAACGCCGAATGAGGACCGGTATTTGGCAGTTACTGCCAAAAGAAACAGGCGGAGCACAGCCTCAGACCTGTCCTCGTCAGCTCTCTTCAGCCACTGGTACGACAATTTCAAGGCAGACCGTGTACAGACGCTTAGGGCAGATTGGTCTATATGCTCGTAGACCTGTCAGATGCGTTCCACTTACTGCAACTCACTGTCGCCTGCGGTTAGCCTGGAGTAGAGAGCATGCATTGTGGACACCGCAACAGTGGGCTTGTGTGATGTTTTCCGACGAGTCCAGGTTTAGCTTGCAGTCTGATTCTCGCCGGACTTTCATATGGAGAGCTCCAGGTACCCGTTACCACCAAGAAAACATCATTGAACGACACCGTTACGGTGGTGCAGGAGTGCTCGTTTGGGGTGGAATTATTCTGGGTTCCAGAACTGACCTGCATGTTCAAATTGGAACCATGACAAGCCAAATCTATCGGGACGTCATTCTGGAACAACATGTACGTTTGTTTCGGGGCGTCATGGGTGCACAATTTGTGTTTATGGATGACAACGCCCGTCCTCACCGTGCAAACATCGTAAGCGAATGCCTTCAATCGGAGGATATCACCCGTATGGACTGGCCAGCATTCTCACCGGACTTGAATCCAGTAGAGCACGTGTGGGACATGCTTGGCCGACGAGTTGAAGCCCGTCAACCTCCTCCTACATGTCTACCGGAACTTCGGAGAGCATTGCTTTTTGAGTGGTGTAATATCCCCCAAGATCAGATCGATAATTTGATACTCAGCATGCCTAGGCGTTGTACGGACTGTATTGCATCGTCTGGGAGACATACAATGTATTAACAATCATACCAACCATGTAATATTGGTTTTTGTAAATAGTTTTTTTTTTTTTTTTTTTTTTTTTTTTTTTTTTTTTTTTTTTTTTTTTTGTAATTTGCTCCAGGGAGAAAAAAATCGCTAATTTTTTTAATAATATCAAACATATAGCATCTTTTTTGCTCTTTACCTTTTGTTTAATAAATAAGCTTTACAAATAAGTCAAATTTGTTTTGCTTCTAACTCTTCCTTTGCCTGATTTTGCATTATCCTTAATTTATGGACATGAGTGTATATATATATATATAATGTTGAATGATCTAAAATTCACTTTTGAAAACAAGTTTTCTAATATGCGCAATAGCTGCAAAGTAAGATAATAATAATTTATTACTAAATAAATATTGATTATATTATCTCCTAATATGAATTTAGTAGAAGTATCAAAAAAGAGGGAACCCATATGTAGGAAGTTTAATTCCGAAAATTGTGTTTTAAAGTAACTTGGATGTAAATTATGAAAAAACGTTTTACGGGAACTTGAATTTAAATCATGAATAACAAAATTTGAAACTTTGAAAAAGAAATTAATAATTAAAAACAAGTAATTATTGCTATTGATCGCAAATTAGTTGACTTTTCAAGGGGAACAAACCGACTCCCGTTCAATGGACAATAATTAATAAATGCGAAGGTGTTTCTTCTGTTACTCAAGTAAGAATGATGATGCCAAACTGGCAAATTAGGTTAGGTCAAAATTGTAGTTCCGTGAAGTGATGGGGTTTATAACCAAATTAGAGTACCAAAGAACTCATTTTGAATGAAGCATTTTCGCTTATACGAGATTCTTTATAAATTTTGAGTGAAAAGCAATTTATGTAGTAAAATTTACAAGATACTTGAGTAAATCTTCCCTGACACCTTCGCTTTTATGCATGTTAATTCAAGACTATTTTTATAAAAATAAACAGTAGTAATCTTAATTTGAATTATGAAATAGAACTCAAAGTAATTAAAATAATTAAATAATAATAATTAAATAATAATAGAACTCAAAGTAATTAAACATGAGAAATTAAGAAGCATACTATGCTATCTTTGAAAAACAAATCAAATAAAAATTGAAAAATTGAAATATATATAATAAGAAAGTAAAATATGAAATGTACATGAAGATATAAAAGGCTAGAAAATGCATTAATTAACTTATGTTCTTTCTAGTGGGGGATGTGGGTAAAGTGTTCTCTTCTGTGACTTATTCAGAAGGGGTGTGTGTCCGAAATCCCTTTATCGGCAGAGGGGATACTTTGAATTTTTACAGGACGTGGGAGGGAGTAGAAATATTTGAGGGACGTTTGTTGCGGAGTTCTTATGTGAGTGAAAACGTCTGTTAAAATTTTGAACATACTAACTAGTGAATGGAAATTAATTAATTTATGGCTAATTGTCGTGTCAGAACGAGGAAGATATG